TCACGAGTGTAGTACTACTGGCCAAGAAACTAGGTCATTGTGTACGGAATGACGCAACAGGTCAAATCTGTATCTGTATCTGTATAGCCGGTATCAGGGATAACCGCCCTTCGGAGTAACACACCAGGTGGCGTAACACATTGGCGTAAATGTAATCATCTCTGACGAAGTATATGGACATACTCTACAATCAGAGGTTGGTGGGGCAAGATTTCTATTACTAGTAGATTTCTATTATTACCACCAACCTCTGCTTGGAGAGAGTATATGGACATGCCCGTGAACCTACAGCGATAGCTTGTGTACACAATAGCTTCTCCCGTCCGTGTGCCATTTATTGACCAAGATACCAATGTATGCGTAAGCTCATTGAAGAGGGCGTGCAACAGGAAGTATTGGGTGGCACCAAAATGTACAATCGATATCCCCACGAAGAAACTCGCCGATTCAAAATGGAAGATATTATCATTCGCTATTGCAAACCTTTAGACAACCTACGTTTTCAGACATATCATCAAGTTTCCGACTTTGACATTTCAAGTTGATTAAAACACAAAGGAACATTCTCCATGTATACCAGACACAGGTGTTTGTCGGCTAAATCCCTTTATATATTGCCCGACGCTCAATGTGTATTCAAGACTACGGACTTACCGTCAGTGTCCTTAGTATTATGTGAAATAAAAATCCACCATATCAGAGTCGAATACGTTTCATTGTCAATATCATGGGACGATTTGCAGAAATCAATGCACGTTATATAACTTTGGAATGAAAGGTATTTCAGTATATTTGCACATAAAAATCTACCCATAGCATTTTGTACCAGAAGTGATCTGATGGTAACAAAAAAATCGAGTCTGCCAGGATTCGAACCTGGAATCTTCTGATCCGTAGTCAGACGCGTTATCCGTTGCGCCACAGACCCGCTTATGGAATGATAAGTGTATTTGCATGACACTTGATAGGCATACCATGCTTGCGCTGTGTATGAGTGTTGACCTCTGAGCTTTGATCAGTCAGTAGCTCCCCCTGTGTGACCTGAAAACCCCGCGTTCAGAAATTCACGATTTTCTACCTCCATCCTACCATGTACTTTAGCAACCGGACATTGTTAGAATATTACATGTACAACCAACTGTACGTGTTGTTCAAGAGTATTCAATAATTATAAAAAATACTGGTGACATGGATGAGGGGAGTCTTATTATGGACGGTTGTAGGTCACACAAACGGGGTCCAGGCAGACCCAGGCCGCCTGCTGGCCGCACCGCCCGCACAGGAACGACCGTGCCTTGGCGTCGAAGTCGTCGGCCCGTTTGGCGATCCACTCGGCTCGGGACCCGGAGTAGGAAGCGCTGCGGGGAAGGCTGTCTGTTCTCTCCATATCGTCACGTTCGTGATGAGATCTGCTGAATGTCAGTCGATGTGCTCTCAGTGGAAACCAACAGAGGTATGACTGGAGCTTTTGTCGGGACCGGATTTTATGGGCGATTTTTCCGCCAGCGGTGATTAGAGAACAAAAGACGTCGGAATCGGACACGACAGGTGACAGACGTTCTCGGGACAAGTGTCGTGAGATGCCGGCCGTCAGACCGGTTGTGCCGTCCGGCTCCTGTGGGCGGCGCAACTTTGAAGAGTTCAAGGTGGATCACAGAAATGGGAAAGTCTTTGTCATCTTTGTCCTGGGCTGTTTCTTTGATGTGTATTTGAGACAACATCCGTCTATGAGATGTTGATTTGACCGATACACAATCTGTTGATCTGTTGGGTTAAAGGATAAAGCCAATGAACAGACTACAGATATGGGAAATAAAATCTAAAGATTAGAGGAACTCAGAAAGAGCAAGTTGAGTCTCTTGCGTGGGGCTTCTTGTCGGTCGAGGTACATGAACTAGCGTCTTTGTTTCCATTCAAAGTTTATTTTTTAGTCCTCTTCGTGGAAACCATCTGCTGTTGACATGTCCTGAACGTATACCTGTTACATTCATACAGCTAAATCTTTCGGACACATATAACAGCACATTTCAATTCTGACTTCTGTGGTGCAAGAGCTACGGCTTGTTCTGAAAATAATATTAATGTACTCATTTACGTTAAGCTTGGTCAATGTGGGTGATGTATATTGTAGACAACGTATACTTTCAGACAGATCTTGATCTTGACTTGGGCGGTTCATAAAGATGATTGAAACACAAAGAAACATTTTCCATGTGTACCAGACAGGTATTTGTCGGGTGTAGCCTTTCTATTGCCGCAGGTAGATGTGTATTCCAGACTACGGGCTTTTCGACTGTGTATCTGGCGAAACAGACATTTTTCCCCATTGCAGCACACCTCGACAACGCACAATGCTAAAATTGAAAGAAAGTCAAGATTACGATGAGACTCTTTTCAAATTGTACATCTAGAGCCCGCCAACTCATATCAGAGGCAGTCTGATGTTATAAACAGATTAAAATTAACCTACCATAATATCGTTAATTCCATCTTTAAGTATATTCATATTTCGTGTTATTTTTACATATTTATGTCCCGTGTAAAAATAACACAAAAGAACATCTCAGCTGTATGTTATCATTAGGTTATGATCGACTTTTTTCACTCAACTGTCCATGAACCTGGACTGTTCTGGGTGGTTTTCCTACATATACAATATGAGCAAATACAGAATATTTTCGTACCCATCCCTCGTTATTAAGAAATTAACGCCTCGGTGACTATGACACTACTTGTAACAGTATCTTAAAGTTTATAAATCTCATCGCTGTGTGTTGGGGGAGATTGGTGAATGTGATGTATATTGTAGACAACGTACACTTTCAGACGGCGGACTTTTCGCCGACTTGGGCGGTTCATAAAGATGATTGAAACACAAAGGAACATTCTCGATGTGTACCAGACATGTGCACAGGTGTTTGTCGGATGTAGCCTTTCTACTGCCGCAGGTAGATGTGTATTCCAGACAATGGGCTTTACCGACTGTGTATCTGGCGAAACAAGACATTTTCTCCTCATTACACCTCACCTCGACGAAGCACAATGCTAAAATTGAAAGAAAGTCAAAACTAAGATGAGGACTTTTCAACTTGTACAACTAGATCCTGCAAGCCCATATCAGAGGCAGTTTGATATCATCAACAGATTACAATAAACCTACTACAATGTCTGCCCTCTTTATCTATATTTCGAGTTTTTTTTTTTACATATTTATGTCCCGTGTAAAATTTAAATGGCACACAAAAGTTCGCAAGAACAACTCAATTATATTGTATGTTATCATCCGAGGATGATCAAATTTTTTTCACTCAAATGTCTTGTATTGTTCTGGGTGATTTTCCTACATATATGCTGTGTGTTGGGGGACCAGAATATTGATGCCGTACAATATAACTGCTGCCTAGTCCATTCGTCTAAAACTGCCAAATGTTTTGACGCATGGCAGCATATGTCTGGTAGCCATATTTTAAATGTGGTACAATTCAAGGGCTGCTCTTGTTCCAATATATAATTTACACATACGCGTTAGATTGGTGAATGTGGTTGATGTATATTGTAGACAACGTACACTTTCAGACGGCGGACCTTCTCACCGACTTGGGCGGTTCATAAAGATGATTGAAACACAAAGGAACATTTTCGATGTGTACCAGACATGTGCACAGGTGTTTGTCGGATGTAGCCTTTCTACTGCCGCAGGTAGATGTGTATTCCAGACTACGGGCTTTACCGACTGTGTATCTGGCGAAACAGACATTTTCTCCTCATTACACCTCACCTCGACAACACACAATGCTAAAATTGAAAGAAAGTCAACACTATGGCGGGACCCTTACAAATTGCACAACTAGATTCTGTCAGCACATTTTAGAGGCAGTTTGATATCATCAACAGATTACAATAAACCTACTATGTCTGCCCTCTTTAAGTATATTTATATTTCGTGTTTTATTTTTACATATTTATGTCCCGTGTAAAATTTAAATGGCACACAAAAGTTCGCAAGAACAACTCAATTGTATTGTATGTTATCATCCGAGGATGATCGAATTTTTTTCACTCAAATGTCCATGAACTTGTATTGTTCTGGGTGATTTTCCTACATATATGCTGTGTGTTGGGGGACCAGAATATTGATGCCGTACAATGTAACTGCTGCCTAGTCCATTCGTCTAAAACTGCCAAATGTTTTGACGCATGGCAGCATATGTCTGGTAGCCATATTTGAAATGTGGTACAATTCAAGGGCTGCTCTTGTTCCAATATATAATTTACACATACGCGTTAGATTGGTGAATGTGGTTATGTATATTGTAGACAACGTACACTTTCAGACGGCGGACCTTCTCGCCGACTTGGGCGGTTCATAAAGATGATTGAAACACAAAGGAACATTTTCGATGTGTACCAGACATGTGCACAGGTGTTTGTCGGATGTAGCCTTTCTACTACCGCAGGTAGATGTGTATTCCAGACTACGGGCTTTACCGGCTGTGTATCTGGCGAAACAGACATTTTCTCCCCATTACGGCTCACCTCGACAACACACGATGATAAAATTGAAAGAAAGTCAAGACTATGGCGGGACAGTTACAAATTGCACAACTAGACTCTATCAGCACATTTTAGAGGCAATTTTATATCAACAGATTGCAATAAACCTACTACCATCCCATCTTATGCCCTTTTTCAATTAGTGAATTGAAATTAAACCTGACACTTTATATTGGACATGGTGGTCAATATAAACTGATGTCACATTTCTAAACCGGGGCCCGGTCGGGCAGTCTTATGGAACGAAAAATATGGTATAAAAGACAACAAAGCACAAAAAATCGAAAAATTAATAATAGAACTATTTGCGTATATTCTAGATAAAAATTGTTGATTTTTCGTTTAATCGAAACAGCCCGGCCGGGCCCCGGTTTGGAAATGTGCTCTTGAGCCGGCCTTTACCTTACGTTAAGACTTAAAGTACATGAACCATTAATTACATCTTATTCTGATTCATTCGAATTTTATTCGACTGTGCGCATTCTGTGCTGTGTCTCCATGATTCAATAAACATTTCTGTGCGAGCAAAGACAACTCTGTACTACCGACTACCTGTCGGGGTTCGGACAATACTGTCGTGTTTGCAAATGAACGACGCATTGTTTCCGCCCAACGACATAATCGTCAAGACAAATCACCTCATTACTCCCGGACGTACCGATAGACGGCGTACTTCCGCTGGTATTGTTACATGTTTGCCGCATCATTACGTGTACGTAGTGTGTATCCGTACCGGCTTTGTCTTTACATCCAGACAATACACACTTTCACTGGAATGTCTGTGACACAATACACACTGAACTGTGCTGCGGCAGAAACAGTTCAGATTGTTTCATCACTCTCATGATCTTTACATGGCGTTTTGAATTGAACCCAAGAGCATATTCACCATACCTGATTGCTTGATCAACGATATCCACAACTGTCAAGAGTGACGTCCATATACATACACGTCTAACGTTATACCATATAAATATAATAAATATACGAGTCATGTTATCAGAGCTATCTATGTACTCATATAAATATATGAGAAATGTTATCAGGGCTTTCTATGCATTCATATAAATATACGAAAAAATGTTATCAGAGCTATATATACACTCATATAAGTATACGAGAAATGTTATCAGAGCTATATATGCCCTTTCTACCCAACGGAAAGACGCCACCCACGCCATTTGTGATGGAAATATACAAAGGTTGAGAAATTGTACACCCAACACCATTGGCGACATTACGCCTTGTGGCTTGCCTAAACTCTGTTAAGGTCCGTTGAATATACGGATAGACATTCGGAGGTGTACTTGTGGTTTGAAATATAATGACTGGCGTATAAAGATTTACGAATTCACCTGTTAGATGTAGTTTACAAATGTCTATAGGTTATATTGTCTTATATAGTATAGTATGGTCATACTTGTGCGTTAAAAGAGGTAAGCTTTCGTCTATGCTGTCTTATATATAGTTAGATTGGTCCAATGTCCCTGTTGATGGCTTCAGGGATCCTCTCGTAATCCGTCGATGTGTCGCAACACTGGAGAACCCTGGAGAGGGAAGGGGAAATGTTGTCTTAATATCATATTCTCATGTATAAACAGAGAAATTGAACATCGTGGAAAATCCAAATAAACAAATAGACAAACAACTTGTGTCAACTGTACAAGAAGTACGGGGTAACAACTGTCTTACCCTATCAGGATGGAGCAGACCAGGTATATCCCCGCACAAAGCAGGAACACGAAACCAGGCAAGAAGCTCAGCGTAGATCCGTAAAGGAAATTCAAGAAGAAGACGAAAAGGAGGTCCCCGATGTTGTCCACGAAAGCCAGTAGGGCAAACAGTGTACCTGTGTGGAGTAACAGTTATACACGTGGAACTGAGAGTTTGGTCGCAACATTTAGATAACGAAAGCGATCTTAAGTGAATAGGAGGTGAAAAAATGGCTAAAAACAAAATATGTTCTGCAGTTCACCCAAGATTGTTTATGAAATGCAGGTACTAGTATAGTCTGCTAAACGGTCACCTGGTTATTACTAGAATACTAGTATTTTAACAATATGACATTGTGATGATTTGGGGAAATGTTTAAACTCCAGGGCATATAGTACCTTGGTCGTCACGACTGACCATCCTAGACAAAACCGCCAGCAGGATGGGAGAAGGCATCGTCTGTAGACAGCTGAGACTTAACGCTGTGGGAAGAACAGATACATGGCTTAACCGTCATGCTGAGAAGACTGGAGCAGAAACGCGTCAGGTAGATACAAAATACTGTCAAACGGAGTTTTGGATACTTCCCAAGAGACGTTTAGACTATACGTTAGAGAAAAAATTTCTGACATACCTATGAAGAATGTCAAGGTGCGATCAGAAGTGTAGACAGCCAGGGCTTGAAGTACCAGTCCACTTATTGCCGCGAAGCAGCCAACCTGTTGATACATATTGGTTTATTGGTCATATGTACAGTTTGCAGCATTATCATTAATCTGGAATATTCTTTCGCTATCTGAACAAAGTATTTCAATGGTTCGGGGTTCCAGTTAAACCGTTTTTTTAGACAAACACTGTTGATTTCTTTCTTGCTTTTTTTTCTTTCTTTTTTACTTCCTCGCTTTGCGAATTGATATCTATCTGCTGTAATTATAACTCTGTTGTATCATACCTGGACCAATCCGTATGACGACAGCCACCTCCCCAGTACTTTGATCCCCACCACAGACATGACGTAAGCAGAGCCTACAACAGCGCCTTGGAAACCTAGCAGGACCGGGTCCCAGCAATATGGCGGCGACAGAAGGATGATGGTTCTCACTCCCGACACTGACTCTTGGACACTATGGGCCAGGAAGTACACAAGCACGACGGTAGCCATGATCCACCTTTGCGGCTTTCGAACCCTTTTTACAAGAGTCACTATGTTTTTTATGTACGAAAGTGAGCATATTTTACTTCCTGGTTGTTTTGGGCGCGTTTCTTTTAACGCAAACAGGGCGTATAAGAGACAAAACACCATCAGCCCAACAGCAAACCAATAAGGTTCTTGGAATCCAAGAGGAGGCCCGACACCTTTTAACCAATAACCACCCACCAGTACAGCAGGGATCAAAGCCAAACCTGCAAAATAAAACAAAATAACACTAAACAAAACAAAAACAAATTGCCATACATTAAATAGAAAAAAAAATCGCATTCCTTATGAACTTGACAAGCCATGTATCATTATCCCCATATACTCGTACATATATAACTGTCTCAAGAAGCGAGAAGGTAAACATGTACGTAAATAGTAGATCACATTAGTATGTGTAGCTTAAATGTTATTGTTGTATTCTTTTCCATGTCTACAAACGTTCATTCATTGATTAAACGCACTGAAATCATTCTATTTTATGTGAGAATGATTGCTACATTGTAGTAATTGTGCAAAAGACACTTGGCACTTCTGTTGCAAGCACACTAGTACATGTATATGTCATTTAACCATTCTACCATTGTATTGTAGGAGCTATAGTGTGTAACATCAGTGACTGACCGGCGGCACTTGTCACGATGGCGAGGCGAACATCTCTGCTCTTCCCTTCGTCCGTGATGTCAGCTATGTATGAAACACAGCCCGTGATGAAGGACGCGGAGCCGCCCATCACACCAAACATCAAACCGCCTGGAATGAGCGAAACTTTGTCATCCTTTACAAGCTTAGTTGTTAGATAGATTACAGATAAGAGCGGCAGACAGATACAGAAGGATGAAGACATGATGTCCCGTTATACCACGTGATACTAGTAGTTGTAGGAATAAAGCTGAAGTTTTTTGTTTAGTAACGGCCACGTATGCACCTATGTTCAAACATTTCAGTAACTCACCTACGAGGAATATCGGTAGTGGAAGGTCCAAATAGACGACGAATGCGCTCAGTAGGAGCCTGTTAAATAATGAGATGATGTCTCAAATTAAAAAAAAAATTGGCAAAAACAATCCACAAAAAAAAGAAGGAAAACGAAATTTGTTTCCCTATACTACAGAGAGCTTACCAGGCCAAAGTACCGATAAGGGGGGCGATGAGTGTGACCTTCCGCCCGAGTCTGTCTGACAGCGACCCGAGCACCAGCACGGCCAGCAGGGACGGGAACGTGATGCTGAATCTGATGTACGTCAGCCAGTCCGCGGATTCTTCCTGCACCTTCTTACTTTCCTGAGAACGAACAAGTAAACTTGGCTAAGGATCTTGGTGTTACAGTATCGATATCATAGACGAATCAGCGATGTCCGTATTGCGATCTACTAGCATGTGAAACCTTAGTATCTATCGACAAGGCATGGTAATTTCGCAATATTGACAGCGAAGCTGACTCCGGACAAGCAAAACAGTATAACGTGAATATAGAAATTTACCAAATCGCCAAAAAAATTACTACTGTTAGTTTCAACATTTTCTTTCAAAATCTATCAATTATCAACAAGTAACAAAAAAAACTCCATACAATAATTGCCAGTTGCGATGCATTGTTATTTAAGTCAATGTACTTTAAAATCATAAACATCATTTTCAAACTAAAGATGCCACAACAAGAAGTCACGGTAACTCTGATTTGATAAAGTGGCAACCTTGCTGGCAGGATGAGATGCGTTGACATCACATCCTGACGTGGAGGGAAGAGTGTTGTTCCCCAGTCTGTAGTAGATGTACTGTTGCTGCAGCGGCAGGACCATGACTACCGACAATATCTAATGTTACAAATCAAGGGAAGAAAGTGAGTTACTGTAAATATGCTGGCTAGTTTGATTTGTTCGTTGCATTGGAAAGTTGCCTATTCACCTTTTCTGAGTACGTAGTATTGCAGCGCAATATTTGCTCCAAAGCTACATTCCTGTAGTTACCAATTAGAATGATTTGTGCAAGCGATATTTTATCACTTACCAAGAAGAATACAATCGGCTCAATCGTCACGGGACAGTACGGTTTCACCCTGGTGGATACATGGTCGGCAGGGGGCGCTGCTGTACCAATTACTTCCACCTCTTCTTTTTCAGCCGACATTTTGACCGTCAGGTCAGTTCAACAGATGTTTCTTTGACCAACCTTCTGCGGCCTGGACACCCATCCTGGTTTCTCTGATTCCTTACACAGCTACCCTTAGTGAAGTAACATTAATATTGTCATGTTTGTAAAGAGATAAATACACACATCCATGCACTGTAGTAACACCTTCGAGGACTGCACGCTCCGACAATGCCGGTGCAGAAAAATATATATTAAGAGCCTATTAACCCTTTTAGGTCAATCAAAGACGTACGATGACCAACCAAACACCCAATACTTGCTTGGAAAATTGGAAATTTCTCCTCACCCCTGTAAAACCAAACCTGGGAAGGTCTTGTTAGTATTACATACTGTAAATCTTGTGACCTGACTATATAATGTGTTCGCCCACTGAAATGGGTCACGGGGTTACCCTAAGTTCCGTCTGAAAACAAGAAGTGGTACAGGCTGAATTTCGCCCTGGTTTGTGCGTGTCTCACCTCTAATATTTCTTCTTAAAACACATTTATAATTGCATACCAACCGCTTTGGTTTTGATGCCGGTGAAAAGCTCGTAATGAAGGGAAGGCGACTCCGGGTGGCAGCCGTTCTTTCTTCCGGTAACGACCTCGCTGCTAATGGCTAACGAGATGCATTCAGTCAGTCACGAGTGTAGTATTACTGGCCAGGAAACTAGGTCATTGTGTACGGAATGACGCAACAGGTCAAATCTGTATTTGTATCTGTATAGCCGGTATCAGCATGGTATCAGGGATAACCGCCCTTCGGCGTAACACACCACAAATTTAATCATCTCTGACGAAGTAAATGGACATTCTCTCGAATTCGGAGAGGTTGCTTTTTCTGTGAGAGTATCGACACAATCTTCCCCCACCAACCTCTGCTTGGAGAGTATATGGACATGCCAACCTACAACGACATCGCCTATCTTGTGTACACAATAGCTTCTCCCGTTCGTGTGCCACTTATTAACCAAGATATCAGTGTGTACGTAAGCTCATTGAAGAGGGCGTGCAACAGGAAGTGTTGGGTGGCACCAAAATGTACAATCGATATCCCCACGAAGAAACTCTCCGATTCAAAATGGAAGATATTATCATTCGCTATTGCAAACCTTTAGACAACCTACATTTTCAGGCATGTCATCAAGTTCCGACTTTGACATTTCAAGTTGATTAAAACACAAAGGAACATTCTCCATGTATACCAGACACAGGTGTTTGTCGGCTAAATCCCTTTATATATTGCCCGACGCTCAATGTGTATTCAAGACTACGGACTTACCGTCTGTGTACTTAGTATCATGTGAAATAAAAAGTCACCATATCAGACGGTCGAATGCTTTTCAATGTAAATACCATGTGGTTAAAAGACAGTTTGCAGAAACTAATGCACTGCGCGTTATATAACTTTGGCGTGAAAAGTATTTCAGCATATTAGCACATTAAAATCTACCCATAGCATTTTGTACCAGAAGTGATCTGATAGTAACAAAAAAATCGAGTCTGCCAGGATTCGAACCTGGAATCTTCTGATCCGTAGTCAGACGCGTTATCCGTTGCGCCACAGACCCGCTTATGGAATGATAAGTGTATTTGCATGACACTTGATAGGCATACCATGCTTGCACTGAGTATGAGTGTTGACCTCTGAGCTTTGATCAGTCAGTAGCTCCCCCTGTGTGACCTGAAAACCCTGCGTTCAGAAATTCACGATTTTCTACCTCCATCCTACCATGTATCCACACTTTAGCAACCGGACATTGTTAGAATATTACATGTACAACCAACTGTACGTGTTGTTCAAGAGTATTCAATAATTATAAAAAATACTGGTGACATGGATGAGGGGAGTCTTATTATGGACCGGTCGCTAACTAATACTATTAAGCGAGTTAAATTGCAAATTGATTAGTGATCATATAACGCCCTCTTTATACTTCGTTAGGATGCTTCTCATATACTCGCAACACATACCATCGAAAGAGTACTTTCCTTGGCCTTGTGTACTAAGTGAGATTTTATAGTCATTACTTCAACCAAGGAGGTTCAATACAATTTGATTGTAACTCCATGCTTTAACATGAATTGATTCTTACACATGAAGGTCATCCAATATTTCCAGTTTCTGTAAACCGCCTTTTAACCTCAAGATATCAACTGTTGAGCATTGAAACGCATTCGACTCTCTGATATTGCATGCAATTGCATATTTTCATTTCACAGACGGTATTAAAGACGTAGTCTTGAATACACATTGAGCTTCGGGAAATAAAGGGATCCGGATATAGCCGACAAACACCTGTACGCATGTCTGGTACACATGGAAAATGTTTCTTTGTGTTTTAATCAGCTTCACATGTCAAATGTCAAAGTCGACAGCTTGGTGATATGTCTGAAAATCTAGGTTGTCTAAAGCTCAGCTTTCCTACATTCAGACGGTCAAGGTCCAGTGGCTTTTACTGTGGTGAAACTGAATGATACGATAGACTAATGGAGAAACATATTCCATACAGACGGGACTAGTCTACAGGTGTCTCACTTAAGACAAGCGTTTCGTAGTAAGTTTCGCTGGATGTGTATAGCCTGCTGTGCAGGCCTCTGAGCGGGTGGAAATTTTGATATTCCGTTTTGTATAATTCTTAACGCGTTCTTTTGCCGGCCATCCTACAATCAGCCGCCCAGAGAAGGTTTGTGTGGCTGGTTGTAGGATGGCCGGCAAAAGAACGCGTTAAAAATTCTACAAAACGGAATATAACTCCCACCCGCCCGTACACGCGCATAGGAGGCTAGGATGTGTATCTGTTGCAGGAAAGACAATGTCGGTACACATAAGCGCTCTGCATTGGTCGAGCAATTATCTGACAATACCCTCAGATGTCACACCGTCTATCGGTACTTCTGAGACGAACATGGGTATTTGTCTTGGGGACAATTTTGTCGTTAGGAACAAAGAAACGTCATTAATTTGCATGAAAATCATGTCTAAATTTTAATTAATCATCCAACCATGATACACATGATACAGAAGTGGTTCTAAGACTGTATGTAGTCTAGTATACACATCCGTCACCACAAGAAGAAAGGACACGCCTGTAAATATACTTGGTACTTGTCGGTAGATGTGAGGTGTCTTAATCATCCGATGATCATGAAGTTAAAATCAATGGTTAAAGTCACATGGTGTCCCTAAACCTAGCTTGTCTAAAGGTCGGTTTACGATTACTAAGAGACTGGACCAAATGAAAGACCACTTCGCTTTACACAATATATAACTCAAATGTTAGGTTGCTGTTTAGCTGTCAATTGGCAGAAGTCGCTGTTCTCGCTACTGTGAAACCTCATGGAAATGCGCTGACCTGCCCACAGTACACCACGAATTTGAACGTTGAAAATACTAGTAGTACATACAAAGAATATCATGTATAGGTGTTTGCTTTTACGTGTTGTGACAAAGATCTATGCATTGAAAAGCACCGCCCTTTTTTATCATCTGAGAAAGTTCCAAAGTTCCATGTACATGTAAGCATTTATTTTATTGGTTTGCTACTCATCGCAATGGTGGTGTCTTTTTTTCGATTTTCTCTTTGTAGAAAGAAAGGCATTGTCGCGTAACGAGAGAGGATACACACCACTGGTATCAGCCTTAATTGTCTTTAATACACATCACAGTACAATACTGTAAATTAAAAGACAAAGGCGCCAAAGACTTTCCCATTTCTGCGATCCACCTTGAACTCTTCAAAGTTGCGCCGCCCACAGGAGCCGGACGGCACAACCGGTCTGACGGCCGGCATCTCAGGACACTTGTCCCGAGAACGTCTGTCACCTGTCGTGTCCGATTCCGACGTCTTTTGTTCTCTAATCACCGCTGGCGGAGAAATTGACTATAAAATCCGGTCCCGACAAACGCTCCAGTCATACCTCTGTTGGTTTCCACTGACAGCACATCGACTGACATTCAGCAGATCTCAACACGAACGTGACGATATGGAGAGAACAGACAGCCTTCCCCGCAGCGCTTCCTACTCCGGGTCCCGAGCCGAGTGGATCGCCAAACGGGCCGACGACTTCGACGCCAAGGCACGGTCGTTCCTGTGCGGACGGTGCGGCCAGCAGGCGGCCTGGGTCTGCCTGGACCCCGTCTGTGTGACCTACAACAGTGACAGAGTCTTGTGCCTGTGCGACAACTGCGACAAGATGTTCCACCCGGCCACCAGCCCCGTCATGCACAACCACCGCCGTCTGGGAGTCGCCCTGTACGTCTCCATGCTGATGCTGCACCGCTACCAGAAGGTCATCGGCGCCATGATGACGAGGTCTCCGCACCACAGCCGTCCGTCCACGCCCGTCTCCACCGACGAGAGTGCAGTCACTTCATCGCAGTCACCGCCAGTCTCCCGCCAGGTCGGACCAGTGCCGTCACCCGCCAGACCTTCGTCCTCCTCCCCGGCGCCGTCCCCCCGCCCGGCCAGCCCCGACAGTACGGTCAACACCAGGAAGAGACAGCGGTCTGGAGACGACTCGTCTGAAGCCAGCGCCAAGGTCAGCCGAACCGACACCGATCGGTCTGGACACTTCTCTCTTGCCGCCGACCTGAGACCCATCCACGACTCGTACGGCCGCATCCTAGACCGCCTGAGGCAGGACCGCTCGCTGTCCGTCTCCGAGGGCTGCAGACACGAACCTTTCGGCAAGCTGACCCTGAGGAACTACGCCGCCATCGCTGAGCTGAGGATCGTGGACTCAGACTTGTACACCTCCGTGCTGAACTGCTACATCCGGCGGGGCGACGGGACCGGCACGCTGTCGGGGTTCGAGCGGGAGTGTCGGCAGGTGCTGTCCGGGTTCGTCCGACAGGTGACCGTCATGCGGGAGCGGAGAGAACTCTTGCCACGTTTCGACTCCTGCTAGGACTTTTGTAACCTGTACTGTATATAATGGAATTTTTACTGCTTTATTGCATTGATATTAGTGTTACATTCGATTGCTGTTTTTTGCTGGCAACCTTCCAATTCTGCTAAGAGACGGTGACGGACATTTTGACTTGTTCAATTGAGAAGAAAATTTTTTGAGACTCAGGTCAACATACTTGGAACATACCTTCCTTACATGAATTCCTGTTGTACAACAAAAGACGGATACATTTCTTGTCTATTCACTATCACTGCTATGTTTTGTGTTGTCAGAATAAAACAATCGACAGTTGAAATTGTTTGTCCTTGTTTTTGCTGTGTCCAAGTCCTAGAGATGTAACTGTTTGGTTTAAATGGCTCAACATCTAGGAAGTGAACTTAATATCCACCACGTCCATCTTAACAGGGAAGAAGGTTGAACACCACTTGTATTATGATGCATCCCAAAGTATGGTTATGAAGTGACTGGACAGTTTTCACATATGCTTGAAAGCCCGGGACTATAGATAATATACGAAAAGTACACGTTCAGCAAAGTCAACAGTCATACACACACCAGCTAAAGAGCCTGAATGAATTTTATTGGCATTTCCAAACTGGATTAAAAAGTCACATGAAGGTAGTGACAGGCATTCACAACATAGGTTGACCTTTTAATTATGGCATTTGGTATCTTACAGCAGTTTATTGTAACGGTTCATCAGAGGACAGCTAAGGTTGCATGTTTCTCAGAAGAAATAGGTAAACTGGTTTAACGTCAAAAGGAAATCAGTAGTTGACCTGTTCATGCTATCATTTTTGTACTTACATACACATAAGGCAAACAAAACGTTCAATTAGAATGTAACAACCCTTGTTTGAGGCAACTCTAAAATTGTATATACAGGATGTAGCTTACCTTGTCTTATATTACAACAGATCTTATATCACTACAGTGTGTATATACTGCTTACTTCAGTAGATGATCCAGAATTAACATTCAATGAAAGAAAGTATCTTAGATTTGCATAACAAAAATCAAGGCACATGCTCATTGCTACATTTTGTAAGAAGGATTGTCTACTATATATAATAACATCATATATTTGCATACTCTCAGGTATGAATAGTAATGGAGGTTCACACATTGTTGGATGGAAACTAAGAATTCTATATCTAATAGGAAGAAGCCTGGTTATCAGACCTATTTATAGCTCCTGAGGCCTACATCCTCTCTGCAATATTTAGTGGAGAGGATGTAGGACTTGGGAGCTATAAATAGATCTGGTAACCAGGCTAATAGGAAGGGGATGGTCCTTTTGAAATTATATATTGAAAGTTATTTGATCCATTGGCAATTTTCAGCCTAAAAATGAAACGTAGTACACTGTAACTATGAGTTGGCAGCCAGAAGTATCAATATGAGCATTAGTACTCTGATAGATATTGGGCATATATTTTACTGGAGAAAATAAGATAAACATGCATACTGAGAAGTTCTGTAACACAATTAGTGCCTACAAGCAGTGACCATGGTCATCATAAATTAGAGGTGGGGTTGCAGTTATGGATCAAATCAGGACATTGTACATTGTAGTTGTATTGGCAGCGGCATGGATGTTAGTCCCCATTTCTAAATGAACTCTTATTGCTTCGGTTCATCACAATGTAGATGAAAATGCAAGAAGAGGGGTTATTGACAATGCTGTCTATATGGGCCTTGGTAGTTATAGGTAACACTGTAAATGTAACAACTGAATGTTGTGTAACAGTAAAAAGTAAACAATAGTGTCAATACTTTCCAATGTTTGTGTTGGAGGCATATCAAAGGTCTTTTTATAGCAATTTAAAACTATTAAATTATAGCATCAATTGCAGACTTTTTGGAGTATTGAAAAGCACCATCATGGTCATTTTTGCCGATAGAGCGTAAAAGACCTTTAAATAAATCCTACGAATATTCTAATCCATTTCATGTTGTAAATCTGTAACGCATCTCTTTCATCTGTCATGCACATTATGAACAGACAACATACTATTAGGTAGAACTAGAATTCTTAACTCCTTTCTCCCCAGCCCTGAATAAGAGTACTGTATACTGTATACTGTTTGTGACTGTATACTTGTTGCTTTGGATGAGACGTTGTGTGTCACACTAGACCAGGATCCTTTCTGTTAGGGAAAGTGCATGGCAGAGTAGAACAAGATCCAGGTTACCTGAAACAGCAAAGGAAAAGTATTTAATAGCTATCTTATAAAAAAACAGAACCCTAGGGAATAAATATAGGGGCTATTCTGTCTATATTGCAAAGATAAGACTATGTAGGATAATTCACCAATCACACTTTGTGTCTGATATATGCATGATTTCATAATGCAAAACAACAATCCTCAATATTATAAAATTGTTGTATCTGCATTCTACATGTTTACATGCCTAATAAAAATGAGCACAAACTATATAACGTTATTTACATGTTGGCTAGTTTGAAGTACATACAGATGGGTAAGATTGTAAGTTGTAGAAAGAAAACCCATACAGTAAATTATGAGTAATCGCTTTGCTTACCAAAAACAATGCGAATGAAGACATGAAGCCTTCCTTGGTGATTTCCCAAGCACCTCCATACTCCTCTTCATCTACCTCTTGGAATGAACTGAAGTATAAATACATGATGCCTGCGTTCAAAGCAACAAACCTGAAAGAGTTCATACAACTGTGTAAGGACAACATGTAATCTGAATTTTCAAGCACAATCAAGTATTACCTTAGTAGAATAAATCATATATAACGTTATAGCAATAATTTGATTATACCACTCTGATGTGGTTCTGATATCTGACAATATGAAAGCTCTGAAATTTCATAATCTGAATTCTGAAATTTCATGATCAAAAGGACACTGGTTGTCTTACAGTAAAAATATCTGTCAGTACTGAGTACTAGTATTTTCCTGCTGTGACATTGGCTTTAGAGATACATGCTTATAACAAGATGTCCCTCAAATCCATCAGTCTTTTAGGATGATAATACCGTTACTTACAAAGCTAATCCTATAAATCCCTTCAGTGGTATCAGTCCCCATATACAGCCTGCTACCAGGGCAATGACTTGCCTGTACCAATAGATCACGTCCAAGAATTCATCCTGCAGAAAACATTCAATATGATATTAATCAAATGATATAACGTTACATGTACTGTAATACAAAATCCTGAAATTTGTCAGTCAAAATCATGGCATAATCATATAGAACTTAGAAGCATGACTATATTTTGGCATTGTTGGCAATGGTGAAATGTTTCGGATCAAAAAGTCTTCTGTATTTATATTTTCATGTTGTTTATCCTTCCCTTAGTGTGATATTCGGCACAGCAGCTTGTCCAGCAGTAGCTTCCTATAAAATACTATGAAATAGCGTTATGCCACCAAATTATTAATACCCTAATTTTTTTTTTTTTGAGATCAAGTATGATCAATTCTAGACCTGTCTTCCCACCCCAAATAATATTTTGGAGTACAACGTTACACATGGTAAAAGACCATCCTCCTTCGCAGGGCTAAAATCCTCCGGTTCGT